CACACACACACACACACACACACACACACACACACACACACACACACACACACACACACACACAATTTGTGCTGATAAATAAATAAAGGTAGACTAGTAGAGATCTATTTCAAGCTATTTAGCTCCCATCAGCTAGCCATACCCTTACTGGGATTTGAAACTGGGGTGTCTTTACATGTTAGGCAGTTATAATAACCTCTAAGCCACAAGCTCTCCTCCCTTATCAGCTGAGCCAAGGAAATAAGTACATGTTATGTCAAAATGGTTTCCTGCCTGGAAGGCTCCTAAGGTAGAGTTGAAAGGCAAAAGGGAAGCAGTATGCTCCCTCCCATATTTGGGTATCTCAGGTGCTTTGACATAACACGTGTGTGTGTGTGTGTGTGTGTGTGTGTACACACGGGTCTTATTTTGGGGGAAACACAGTATCTTGTTGGCCTGTTGGGAAGAAATCTGCTACACTACTCTGATCCAGTAGGATTACACTGCAACCTTCTCAGAAGGATCCTTCTGGCATGTTTGGAACAAATCTGCACCTTGTTTTTCCGAAAATAAGACAGGGTCTTATTTTTTTTTAATGCTGAAATAGGAACTTGGCCTTATTATCAGGGAGGTCTTATTCTTTTTGAGATGCAGGAGGCGGCGAGCGTGGTCACCTCATGGCTGTTGCTGTGTTGCGATATTTTCAGAGAGGGCTTATTTTGGCCCATGTGCTCAAAAGCCCAATTGGGCTTATTATCCGGGGAGGTCTTATTTTCAGGGAAAACAGGGTAAAAATGAATGGATTGTCCCAAAGGATCTTTTTCCAAAAGGCAACTGGACTTTCTTGGGGTTTCTTTTCTCCCCTTGGAAAACGTTTTGTTTCTCATCCAAGAAGCTTCTTCACAACTTTTTTTTTGGGGGGGGGGCAGGGGGGAGCACTTTTGGGATAACCATGACCTGGACGATGGAGAAACTCCACAGACCACCGGTTGGATTCTGCTCTGATTCGAGTAGGATTCTCTGGGAATCCCGGTTAGAGGGTAAACTTCCAAGTGGTTCCCTGTGGAATCTGTAATTTTCATAAATCTACCATGTTTCCCCCAAAATAAGACAGGATTTTCTTTTGACCCCCGAAATAAGCACTTAGCCTTATTGTCGGGGATGTCTTATTATTTTTGAGGTGCAGGAGGCAGCAACTGTGGTCACCTCATGGCTGCTGCTATGTTGCAATATTTTTGGGGGGAATGTGGCAACAATATTTTCAGGGGAGGGGTAAAGTTCATCCATAATTCAAACAAGGATTAGATCTGACTGCAATAGGGTATTGCCAAAATGGTGGTCCTAATAAATGACTGGTTTTCTTTTGAAACTCGGCTCAAGGCTCATGAATCAATTAGGACATCTTTCGGAAACCTGACAGAGGGCTTATTTTTCGGGGGAGTGCTTATTTTAGCGCATGCACTCAAAAGCCCAATTGGTCTTATTATCTGAGGAGGTCTTATTTCCAGGGAAACAGGGTAGGAAGCTGTAGTTGGAATCTCCCCCTACTGTCCCCCAAATCCAGAGAGAGACGCCTTCCAACCTGAAGATCCAATGAGCAAAGGCATCCTCCTTGATGTGGTTCCTAGACCCATCTCCCCCTACACTTCCCCCCCCCCTTCAACAGACAAAGCTGCAATGCTGATCTAGAGAAGCAGAAGAAAGAATGGCGCCAGGGCACTGCAAAGGTTTGGCAAGGCCCTCTGAGTTAGCTGGAGAGGGGGAAGAAAAGTCAAAGAGGTTGAGTTGGGAGATTCTCTGCGGATCCTCCGGAGGAAGGGCTTAGTTAAGAGAAGGATGGGGGTCCTTTGCTTCTTCCCGACTTAAGGGAAGTAGTCTTGGAAGGAAGGCAAGAGGCTCTGCTTCTCTTTGTCTTGGTGCTCAAGGAGAAGAATTCGTACCAACTGAAGATGTCCAGGCAGGATTGCCAAGGGCTTCAAATTCAGCAGGACTCTGCAGGTGGACAGCTGGACGGATGTATGTACAGGAAGTGCCAGAGATGCAATTTCCTTCCTTCCTTCCTTCCTTCCTTCCTTCCTTCCTTCCTTCCTTCCTTCCTTCCTCTGTCCCTCCCTTCCTCACTTCCACCTATCTTCCTTCCTTCTTTCCCTACCATACCTCACAATATTTCCCAGGGTTCATGAAAGAGCCTATCGGGCATTCAAAGTGCTCTAAAAAGTCCCGGGAGTTGCTGAGAGTGCCGATGACCCGGAACTTGTCAGGGCTGTGGGGGTCCGTCATCAGGCCCTCGTGCGAGCTCTCTGGGGTCCTCACCGAACACCACACCTGCATGGGAAGGAAGAGGGTTAGCAAAGCACTCATCCTGCAGAGGGGGGGTGTGTCAAATGAGTGGAATTGCATGCCTGGCGTGTAGCACCACAGGGGGCGTCAGGCCTGCAGCCATCTTTTCTTTCGGGTGTTTGGCCTGCCACACCTTCAATTATCCTACTATGCACTTTCTATTGTGGGGAAATGGGAGGGAGGATTGAACGGAGTGAGACGCTATGTAGCCATAACAACATTCTTTCTAGAAAGCCAAGGTCATCCTTTGTCTTTGCACCTCTTTGCACCCTTTGATTTGGTCACACGTAGCCAAATTTCATCTAAGTTGATTTGGGGGGTACAGACGGACAGGTAGTCCTCGACTTACAACAGTTCATTTAACGACCATTCCTAGTTACAACGGCACTGGAAAAAAGATTATTGCTTTTGACACTTATGACTGTTGCATCAGCCCCATGGTCACGTGATCATAATTCAGGTGCTTGGCATGTAGCCCGTTTGCTGCCGCTGCAGCCCGTTCGCCATGGCCCATTCACCGCCAACTGCTGCAAACAGGCGGTGGCGGCGATATGTGGTAATAGGCAGCAGCAGCGATCCCTACTGCCTAAAACATTTGATTGGTGCCACATCAGCTCCCTTTTTTGGGGTGGGGGTGGGGAGTGCGTCTTATACTCCAAAAATATGGTATTTATTTCTCACCTGTATTATTTTTACAACTAACTCACGGTGGCAAATATATCTAATACACTTTCCTCCTCCTATTATCGCCTCAACAACAACCCTGTGAGGTGAATTGGGCCGAGAATGTATGACTGGTCCAAAGTCAGCCAGTTTATTTTCATGACTAAAGCGGAACTAGAACTCNGGATACAAATAAAATAATTATCTCAGCTAGTTTTTCTGGATTGCAGTGTTAATTTTTTATTATCGCTTCTGAGCATAGTATGCATGTTTATTTCAAAGTGTATAGCGCGTCTTTTGGTTTCAAATCAATGTTTGGGGCAAGTGGCATCCAAGGCAGGGTTGTTCTGCAAAAAACGAAACTCCTCGGGAAGATTTCATCCCAAAAGAGACGCATAATTGGCGTGACCAGCTCAGTAGTAAGTCTCCCGCTCAACCCAACCCCCCGGATAACGCCGCAGGAGAAACTTGCGGGCTTCATCGTAGACAAAAATGAGCACGGAGAAGGGGAGGGCACACAGCCACCAGGTCACTCGGAGCGGGTACATGCGTAGAGCCACCTCCATCCCTGGGCAGTAGGAGAGGAACGCCGCCAAGGTGGTTTCTTCAATCAGGCCGAAGACCATAATCTCGTTCCGCATGCCCTGTTGGAAAAGGGACAGCTTCCTGGTCTTGCAGATGATGAGGTCCGCCCACTGGACGACCACGATGCTGATGAAGAAGGCGGTGTGACAGGTGTACTCCACCACTTTCCGCTGGTGGTACGTCCACTGCTGGCCGTAACTGTCTTCCAGGTCATTTACGGTGTGGTCGTCCCAGTTCAGGCGCATCCCGGGCAAGGTGGACGGCAGGAACCCGTTCTCGGCCATGATGACGAAGTAGGTGAAGAACCCAGCAAGGGCTTGCATCATGCCGATCTGCCCGTACGCCATGCTGATCAGGCGCTCGTTCACCAGCTTGTCCGTCTTGGCGTTCCGCGGCTTTCTCTTCATGATGTCGCTCTCGGCTTTCTCGTAGGCCAGGGAGATGGCGGGCACCATGTCGGTGCCCAGGTCGATGCACAAAATGGTGATGGTGCCCAGGGGCAGCGGGATGTCGAAGATAATGAAGAGAAGGAAAGGGGAGATCTCTGGAATGTTGCTGGTCAGCGTGTAAGCGATGGACTTCTTCAGGTTGTCAAAGATCAGGCGGCCTTCTTCCACGCCCGTCACAATAGACGCAAAGTTGTCATCCATGAGGATCATGTCGGCCGCCTGCTTGGACACATCGGAGCCCGTGATGCCCATGGCAATGCCAATGTCGGCTTTCTTGAGGGCCGGAGAGTCGTTCACCCCGTCTCCGGTCACAGCGACAATGGCGCCCTGCCTCTGACACCCTTCTACGATGATCAGCTTCTGCTGTGGGGATGTGCGAGCAAAGACGATTTCAGAATGACTCGAAAGGATCTCGTCCAGTTGTTCGAGGGTCATGTCCTTAAGTTCGGATCCATGAACGACGCAGGCCTGGGCTTCCCGGTGATCGACTTGGCTGACCGGGATCCCCAGCCGGGCTGCGATGTCTTCGACCGTCTCACTGCCCTCGGAAATGATCCCCACCCCCTTGGCAATCGCCTTGGCGGTGATCGGGTGGTCGCCGGTGACCATGATCACTTTAATCCCAGCGTTGCGGCATTTCCCAACGGCATCTGGCACGGCGGCACGAGGCGGGTCGATCATGGAGATGAGCCCCACGAAGCACAGCTTGGTGGTGGGGAAGTTCACGTTGTCTGTGTCGAACATAAAGCCGCGTGGAAACTGCTTGTCGGGGAGGTAGCAGTGGCAAAATCCGAGGACCCTCTCGCCTAAGCCCCCGAGATAATTGTAGGTGTTCAGAAAAGCTTCCTGCATCTTCTTCTCCAGGATCACTTCCTTTCCTTGCAACAGGATAGTGGAGCAGCATTCCAAGATCCGCTCCGGAGCTCCCTTCATCACCAAGAGGTGGCCTTTGGACTTCTCTGCAGCTTCGTGGATGGAGAGCTGGTATTTGTTGGTGGAGTTGAAGGGGATCTCGGCTACTTTGGGGTTCCTCTCGCGCATCTCTTTGACGGATCCCCAGGATAGCTCGATACATTTAAGGAGGGCCGACTCAGAGGCATCTCCGGTGGTCTCCTTCTTAGCAATGGGGATGTTCTCCTGGTCCGCTTTGAAGTCCGCCCTATTGCACAACCCTGCAATGTGTGCCAGGGCTAGCCACGTGGGCGAGCTCGTGTTGAAGATGGCCCCGGCGTAAATCTCAGTGATGTTGGCTTCGTAGATCTCATTGTCAAACCACAGGTGGGCGACGGTCATGCGGTTCTGAGTCAGCGTTCCGGTTTTGTCCGAGCAGATTGTGGAGGTGGACCCCAGGGTCTCGACGGCTTCAAGGTTTTTCACCAGGCAGTTCTTCCGTGCCATGCGTTGGGAGGTGAGGGTCAGGCAGACGGTGACGGTGGCCAGGAGACCTTCCGGGACGTTCGCCACGATGATACCGATCAGGAAGATGACGGCTTCAAGCCAATCGTAGCCGAGAATTATGGCCAAGATGAAGAATGACACTCCTAGGAAAACGGCGACGCTGGTGATGATGTGGATAAAATGCGCAATCTCCCGGGCAATCGGCGTGCGTTGCTCGCTCAATCCGGAAGCCAGCGAGGCGATACGTCCCATCACTGTGTAATCCCCTGTCAGGATGACAATGCCCCGCGCTGTGCCTTCGACACAATTTGTGGAGAAGAAGCCAATGTTTTGGGTCTCCAGGGGGTTCTCATTGGTAAACTCGATCGTACGACTCTGGGGTTCTGATTCACCAGTCAGAGAGGAATTGTCGACTTTGCAACTGGTGGCCGAGATGATCCTTATGTCCGCAGGAATCCGATCTCCCCCTTTGACCTCCACCAGATCTCCCACGACGACAAGCTCAGCGTTGATCTGCATCTTTTCGCCCTCCCGGATCACCAGGGCTTGTTGTGGGACCATGTGCTTGAAGGATTCCATGATTTTGGAGCTTTTGGCTTCCTGGAAGTAAGAGAAACACCCAGTCACGATAACGACGCCGGAGAGCACCGCGCCCAGATAGAGGTTGTCCTTCTGTACTCTCATGCCCATAAAGCTTTGCACCAGGTACACCGTAAAGCAAAGGATCGCGCCGATCCACAGGAGGATGGAAAGCCCGCCAAAGAGTTGCTTGCAAAATTTAATCCACTCCGGCTTGGTTCGTGGCGGGGTGAGGGCATTGGGGCCATTTTTTTCCAAGATCTGGGCCGCCTGTGCCCTGGTCAGTCCTTTGGAGAGATCCACCTCGTACCTACGACTGAGTTCCTGAAGAGACAATTTGTGATCGTCAAGAGTCACTTCTTTCTTCAATTCTTCCAGTTCCTCTTTTCTCTTGTGTTTCCTTTTCTTGCCCTGGGGTTCCTTCTTATTCATGGCGACGTTTGGATCTACCACGCCAATCCTCCAACTCTTGGGTTCCCCACTTCAGAGGGGAGTACGGTGCAGCTCCAGGGGAAAGGAAGGGGGAAGGAGAAGGAGGAGAGGAGGAGGACTTCTCGCCAAAAGAGGAAGCAGAAGAGGGAGAGGTTTGGGAACCGAAGCTTCTCCAGCAACCACCCAAAGCTTAACGTCCTAGGAGCCCAGCTCCACCAGTAACCCCAAAGGACAAATCCATTGTCCTTCTGTTGGGTAACCCAACAATGCCTGGGTCTCTTAGCAACCAAGAAGTAACTGCCTCCTTTAGTGATGTCATAACGCCTAGCAACCGGAAGAATAACAGAAGAACAGAGTTGGAAGGCACCGTGGAGGTCGTCTAGTACAGTGTTTCTCAACCTTGGCAACTTGAAGATGTCCGGGACTTCAACTCCCAGAATTCCCCAGCCAGCGAATGCTGGCTGGGGAATTCTGGGAGT